AACTATGATTATACATTGTAATGTATTGTATTTAATATGCAAATGAGATGCAAACTTATAGTTGCATATTCTAATTGCGTATACAAGATATGCTTATGAAATCCACTAAAATATACTATTGTCTCATTAAGTATGCAAATGAGATGCAAACTAAGAAAATTTCTAATGTATTTGATATGCAAATGAGGTGCGCACTAATACTAAATGTGTTAATAATGTACTTATTAAGTATGCAAATGAGATGCAAACTAAGAATATTTCTAATGTATTTGATATGCAAATGAGATGCACACTAATACTAAATGTGTTAATGTACTTATTAAGTATGCAAATGAGATGCACACTAATACTGAATGTGTTAATAATGTACTTATTAAGTATGCAAATGAGATGCACACTAATACTAAATGAGTACTTATTAATAATGTACTTATTAAGTATGCAAATGAGATGCACACTAATACTGAATGTGTTAATAATGTACTTAATAAGTATGCAAATGAGATGCGTTTTAAACCAACAATGCTAGGTAAGGAGTATGCTGTATTAGAATGATATTTTTCTATAATAATGATCAACTACAAGTTGAATTATATTGTGATAAATGTTTATTTTTATAGATGTTCGAGGATTTATGACAGCGCACGGTGTTCCAGATGCTCCAAGATCCTCCAGATACATATTGAAAGACTATGTCAAAGTCAGTAATAGTTGTCACTCTTTAGGTTTACTTTTTTTGACTATTAAAACTATTAATTTGTCATTTTGTGTAGATCTAGTTGAGGGCTTTTGCGATACTTAAGACTTGAATTTTCCCCTCAATAGTTTTCCATTCTTTTCTATGTTGGAATTATAAGAGGGTGCTGACTAATAGGTACTCTCTTTGTGACTGAAAGTGCTTTTTGTCATAGGAAATCACTTGCTCATAATCTTTAATTAATTTTTATAGTTACAACTTAAGTTCCTGCTCTTCTGCCATCACTTTATTGTGCAAACATGTCAGTTGCAAATAAAAAATAACGTTTGGGTGGCAGACTAATAAAGAAACCTGGATTAGTGATGTTAGTCCACTGCCAACTGAAACAAACAACTCCCGCTGCAATTCTGCCCGCAAAAGTTTCACCTGCGCCACCTTCAGCACCAACTACCATCTCTACAAGAGTTATCATTGGTATCCTGTCAGCAATGATAGTGAAAATAAATTCCAACTCTTTTTTTTTTACAAAGCTGGCTAGAAAGCAAGTTAATGCACAGACCTATAATTTTGAAATCTAGTTACTCCCAGTGCTGACCATACGACTTCTGTCCCCAGGGCAAATTACTGTATAGGTGTGCGCCACCTGGTGTTGATGAGAAGAAATTCCAAGAATTCCCACAATTGGAGATAACGGATGATGCTGTGTCAAAAAAGAAAGTGAGCAATCCAACTGTAGTGTCGGCTGAAGGTATAAGGGTAAGTGTATTACTCCAGAACTTGTTTATGTCCGCTACACTACACTGACTGTAGAGGACGGGGGCAAGCTGGTACAGATTACAGGAATAAAAAAGGCATTTTACGTTTTTACAGGAAATAAAACGAAAGTTCTATTTACCGTAAAAAATAGGTTTTGACACTTTACAGATAAAGCAAATTCCTAATTACATTTTTATAATATATTTGAGAATTTGTGTTCAAGAATCAAAATTGGAAATTGCGAACAAATTGGGACATTTAATTTCGAAAATGTTTTATACGCTTACTAAAAATAAGATCTTTGTACAAATTACAGATGTCTACGAATTTACATTTTTTATTTATTTAAATAACATTATTACAAAAATAAAAACTATTTCACTGGCCGTTCTGCTCACATTTGAATCCTACAGCCAACGTGAATGTAACAAACAACTGGATGAATGAGTAGCATTTGGACAAAATTGTTTTGATACATGTAGAACTATGCCTGAGTGAAACATTTTGTCAGTTTTCACTTTTCAAGTGTGCTTTGTAAGTTGACCTCTGAGAGCTGAATAATGAGATGTTTAACCCTTTGAATGATATAATTTTTCCGTAACATTTTGCCTATTTTTAAGTATTTTTTTTATAATTTTTAGATCATTTTGGAACAAATGGACATAATTTTCCATTGCCTACAGGACGTGATCAAAATTTTAGGAAAAATTTGGAAAAAATGTAAAATATTGTATTTGTGAATGGTTCTCAAATTCTTAATAGATTATCTGCTGACGCCATATTTTCCCATGATGCATTTTGTGATATTCATGGAGGCTTTCAATAGGTGATGTGTCAAATATAAATTCTGAGAAATAGGTTTGTACAAAATATCCATAGCAACCTCTCATGCCCTACCATGCTGGCTCGGGAGTCGTATAACCTTTCAACTCAATTCTCCACTTCAAAACTTATAGTCACGCCAACCAATGGATTACTGCTATATCTGTAACGTTCTTTTATGAATATTTTTTGCAGAAAAAAAATACCGACCTGAGTGAAATGGACAGTGCATTCTTCAGCCAACAGAATGTACGAGCATGCACTAAAGGTGTACAGGGTGTGATGGGATACGTCAGGAAGGATGCCGACTGCTCACGCCATGTGTCGTCGGATTCAAGAAATAGCAGTCCTCAAAGCAGCCAGTCATCTGTGGCCGGAAAACCGTGGAAGAAGCATTTTAATAAAAATAAGAAGGAAAAATTAAGAAGAGTTAATAGACATCTTGATGAATGTTGAAATATTATTGGTTTAATTATTATAATATAATTAATAAATACTCAGAAATGTGCAAAATATTTGTATATGTATAATTATGTAAATACGTAGTTTGAGGTGAGCCAGCAAACTGATTTTTTTTTTTTTTTTACAACAGATAGTCTGAATCTATTTGATGAGTAATAAAAATACATGTTTGTGCAATTCTTGATTCCCAAATTGATAGTGTTTGCATGTTTATGCTTTGCGTGTTTGCGCATATTACATGTTCGGGGTCAAAACACCAGAAGGTGAAATGGATTTCAAATGTTTCGAATGCGCAAAGTTGCAGTAAACTGATCATCCATATTTCAACTCGCAAGAACCCCCCCCCCCCCCCCCAAGTGCCACCATCATTATACTAACTTGTATCAGCCTCTGAAAATGTGCACACTATTCTGCCTGAACCAGAAAAATGAACATGCAACTTACCTTAGGCTATAGTGTAAAATTAAAATTTTTTTGGGGGGTAATTTCGGAGTTGAAAAACAGTCACATTTACTCAGCGAAATGCACGTGCCATCTCTATTTCAGTTATTTTCTCTGAAAAAAAATCATTCTTTTTTACTGCTAATCCATGTTTTTCAGCTGTTCTATATAGTTCTTTAAAAACTCTATTTTTAAAAACATGTCGCTGACTTCTCCAGGAGTTGCCTACATTTTTTTGTCCAGGTAGGTTATGCATACGGAAATAGAATTACATCACGTCTGATAATCTGGGAATTCTCAATATCTTGAATACAGAGATAAACGTTTGGGTTCCCTACAAAATGCCTGCTTAGCAAAAAAACCAGAAAATAATAATTGGCCATAATTTTCTGTCTCGTTGAAAACTATTATTCTAATATATGCATATTAATTCTATTATGTCTTGTACTTTATGAGGTGTTGGCTTTTTTTTATGATACAATTAAATGTGAAGAACAGTCAAGTACATAATTCACACTTAGTGACGAATGTGCTTATGAAAATAACAGGCATGTAAACATTACTGATAACAAACACATTTTAATGATTTAGTATGAAATATATGCATTATTTGGTTGATGTGCACTTCTATTAGAGATGGCCTATTATGACTTAATTTATGTTCGTGTTTAGTGCTGAATATTGTGTTATTTAATTCGTTTGATAAAAAAGTGTTTTTCACAGACCTGGACAGATCTCTTTGAATTAGAAGCTTCCACCCTATCACTGAAGGATAATTGAATTTCCTATCGCAATATTTCAATGATAAAGCGCCACCAAAGTTTAACATTTTTTGCTTGACTACTTTTGTTTTTATCTTGAAATATTGCTTAAACCCAGTCCCTTTGTGTGTATATCAAGAACTCTTTGTGAAAAATTAATTAAAACTAGTATCTTTAAAATGAGACACTAAATAATATATTACTTATTATCGGAGACTGCAGTCTCTGTAAATGAACAAGATTGAAAATGAATATTCTAACTGAAGAGAGCCCTCAAGTGACAACTTTGAAAAATACTTAATAAAGATGGCTGCCTCCATGGTTTGTCATGCCGAAAAATAAGTCTCCTATGTAAAATACGTGTTTGCTATCGTACACTGATTGTGTTAATCGTGATTGAATATGTAGTGTTAAGGTAATTTATCGTACACACCACTTAAAGCGTAAATTCGATGGATTTTCACTCTGCACTGAATGCCTGGTACCAAGATTATTTCCATTCTAGCACGTAACATTGACTTGACGTATTTTGAAATACTTGGTTAATTTACCGAAACGTTTGCAGCGCGGTTGTGTTATCACCATAGTTGTATCAAAATGACGGCACAGAGCGCATTCGAGAGGCTGAAACCTCTGTGTATCGCTATCACGAAGGGGCAAACGAAGGAAAACATGCGAAGATTGAATAGCGAACTGGATAGCATCAACAATGACGATCTTCAACGATTACAAGAATATTTACTGTTCCCACTCAGGATTGTAATTAAGATGGCGCCCACTGCGTAAGTACAAGATGCATGTCCTTATCATATTATCAACATGTTAGGTAGCCCTGAGTACAGCCCTGAAGGTTGCTCATTCGGCGCAGCGGGAGAAGGCCAGCCTACAGGACTGTACAGAGCTACATGTTAGTCAATGTGACAAGTAATAAAAGTCGCTTATATAGCGCCCTCATGGGCAACCCCTACGTACTGCAGATGCTCATTGGCTCTAAAAGTTGTTGTTGGAGGAGGGGGGGGGGGGTGATCAGTAGTAGTATGGTTCATTTTTCCTTACAATATTGTTACATTTGATTGATTTAATTGTAGTTTGATTGTCATGACAACATGAAACAAAATTCTGAAAGGCTTTGCATTCTGGGAATGCTAAAACACCGAGCTGTTATAAGGAAGTAATTGACAATCTGATCCAACAATAGTCCTGCACAACAGACAGGGTGTGGATTGTGTGTCAGTTTTGTATTATCTCCACAAAGTCCTGGGCTTGAGACATCAGTTGCAAAATGACTGGTGTATCATTGTATAAAGGCAGCTGGCAATGCTAAAATTTCATGAACTGAACAGTGGGTCTAGATTACACTTCTTTATTACAAGCACTGTCATTATTCATCCAAATGAGTGCTACCAGTACCGTGGCTGGAAAAGGCTAGCAAAATTGTATTACCGTATAGCAACGAAGAGCAGAATGTCTGTAAATTATTTTTTATTTTTTATTTAAACAATATTTTTATTTCGTTTCAATAATATAGACATACAGCACAAAATATTACATTACATAGAGGTACAAGGAAGTAAAATTAAGAGAAATAAAATTAGGAGAAGAAAAACAAAAAAAAGTTATCCGGTATAACATCTAAATTTGCCCATTATCTAGCCAATTAGTTAATGGTTCCCATTTCTGATAATGGATGAGCTCTTTGTTTTTGTTTATTGCGATTTGTAATAAAATATTTCTATTTTCCCTGATCCAACTTGTAAATTATGCTGAGTAAAATATTACTGAAAACCCAAAATACACAATTATCAAACATTTCAGTAATACATCATAAATGTCATTCACACTTCAGGTGAAATCAATTTTTATCTGAAATGTATTATCATAAAACGACCCAAGAAATGAAATTGTTCGCTCATTTCTGTTTCTACTATCCTATCATTTTAGATCTCAAGATACAAGTGAAGAAGCCTTAAGATGTATGACTAAAGTTATCAACAAAACAACAATTACAAACAAGGAACTGTTCACTGATTTGTTCACTCAACTTGTCATAATAATCAGCTCACCGGTTAACTATGGACAAGGTTGGTTATTTATACCAAAATATCAACTTTTTACCAAAATTGTCAATGATTTTAATCAATATCTGTACTTAATATAAAATTGTTTCGTTTAAAATTTATGAAAAAGAATTGGCCAGGGAAGATATCAGTTCAAAATGTCCGCACTTTATTTTTTTCAGTCAACCAGACATCAGAAGAACTGAAACTCTCTGTAGTTTTCTGTCTCAGGGCGTTAATAAAGCAGGCAAATGAAAGGTACAGTGCTTAACTTTGAAGGTCATCATAGTTCCTGCCAAAATAATGCTTTTCTATGATTTACTGATTGATGTTGGACCAAACACACTTGATCAAAAAACTTTTTATTTGTTATGAAAAATTATGCAAATTTATTTGATGAAAGGTGACATAAGTTCGCCACTTATTCCAAAATTCGTAAAACTAGTCAAAGTTTTGAAACTTTTGATGCACATCTCAGTAAATAAGAATATGTTTGTGAACTAATTTTTTTTTCTTTTTCAGTGTTATGGATGTTGTCTATGCTGATAATTTTATGCCAGCTTTGGGCCACTGTATTTCTATTTTACTATCAATAGCGGAGCATGAACAACTGAAAGAATTACGAATAGAATCCATGTTGTGTCTGCTGGATCTCATCCAGTACAAAGGTGTGTTGTTTTTTCTTAAAAAGGTTAAAAATACTTTGTGGGATGGGCTGGAGGATTATTGTGTTAAAACAATTCTGAGAGCTTAATAAATAATTTAATTTCAGCAATAACATTATTCTACAATGTGATTTACAGACACAAACTTAGATGGTTTTGGATCACATCCTCTCATCTCTGGTACATTCTCATCGTTCCTGCCCGGTATCACCATGGCGATATGCAGGATAATTACAGGATATCCAAAACAGGGACAGTCTGTTATCATTGTAAGTTTTAATTCTAACTTTAACTGAACTAAATTTTTTGTTTTATATGTGTCACATCAAACTGAAAATTGTGGCATTACTGAAACTAGGTTGTATGTTATGGGACAGTTGGTGCCTAGTGATGTGTAATGTTCTGGTACTTGGTGTGTGGCTTTAATGGTTGTCATGTCGGCCAAATCATCAGGGGGGTTGTGGGTTTGGCTGCCTACTTAGCAGTGAAACTAAAGACTAAATACTGCCTACTTGCCAGGCTTGTGGCATTCAGAAGGCTTGTACAACAGTCTGTCCCATGTGCAGTTTCTATCCACAGTGCACCGAGTAACAAATTCCCACTGGATGACTAGAAATTACCTTGAAAAAATGGGCTCTGTGGAAGATAGGACAATGGTCCCTATAAACAGGTTACCCCATAAAGCAAAATCTAATTAAAAAAATGACAATGATAAAATATTCCTGACTAACCAATCACAAGTATCATAACATTCCTGACTAACCAATCATAAGGCTCAATTGTGTTGTCCAGAAACACAAATGACATTTTCAAGCCCCCTCTTTCAACTAATACAACTCTAGAATGTCTGCTTCAAGATGGCTTAGCCAACCCTTGTTAAGTTATGTTAACATTGAAGACTGAGGAACATAGTCTACACCATTATGAAAAGTGTGGTAATATTCATTTCAGATAGCACTATACATTTGATATGATAACATATTTGTCTGGAGAATTTGGGTAACAACTTAAGGGAATTTGGGTAAAACTTTGGGGAACTCTGGTAACAACTTTGGGGAACTTTGGTAACAACTTTGGGGAACTCTGGTAACAACTTTGGGAAACTTTGGTAACAACTTTGGGGAACTCTGATAACAACTTTGGGGAACTTT